TGGGAAGCCCAGATGCAGTTTGGAGGGTGGGGGTCTTTGCATGAGGGGTAGCCTCCCCCTGCGGAGGGAGGAGACAGGAGCGGCCTCTGCCCCTGCACCCACCTGGGGCCATGGAGCTCTCTGCTAAATTCTGCTCCAAGGACTCTTTCCCGTGTTCCTTTGCTGGCTTCTGTGCTGGGGTCTGCATGATGGAATCATGAGGGTGTGAAGATCTGGAAAGATGTTTTTGATATGGGATTAAAGTCATCTTTGGAAAGTAACAATAATAGCTACCACTTATTCTGCACCTTGATTGTGCCAGTCGCTGTGCCAAGGGCTTAATGGGTACTATCTCATGTCATTCTCACAGTAATTCTTTGAGTGGTGAATACTTTTGGAGATTTTAGAGATGAAGACACTGAGGCTCAGAGAGGTTAAGGATCTTGCCTGAGGACACAGAGCCGGTAAATTGCAGAACCAGGCTCGAACTTCTTCATTCAGTCAACCATCTATTCATTTGACGAAGTGGAGCTGATGGCCTACCCTGTGCCAGCCCTTCTGGTGGGCTCTGACGGCATGGCTGGGCATAGGACTAAGGAATGCCCGGCCGGGCCACCTAACTCCTCAGCCCCATGTGGTCTTTCAGATGGGCCCAGAGACGCCTGGGGGAGAGTGTTAAGAACTCTGCTTGAGAATGTTCTTGTACTTAAGAATTGTTTCCTTTTGTTTTCATTCTAATAATAATCTGAACATTGAACGCATTCATTCGGAAGCATCTGAATGGCCGTCATAACCTACCACTGGCATGAATTTTAGTCCCTGAGTTTATGTTTCGGTGCAAGTTGGCACCAAGTGGTTTCCTAAAATGATAGTGTTGAGCCTTTAATGCTTTGTTTCTTAAACTGGGTTCCACATAGTCTGCTTGGAAGGCCCACACTGATTCTGCTGCAAAGAGAGCGGGGTACAGGATGGGCCCCCCAGGAAAGCTGGTCCAGCCCGCCCCTCTCCTCAGGCAGCGACCTGGACTCAGCTGGGGTGAAGCAGCTGGCGGCTCAGATCTTCCAGCCTCTGGTTCTCCAGGATCAGGATGGACCCAGACCAGAGGCTCAGAGAGGAACGTGTAAGCCCCCAAGTTAGGAGCCAGGAGCCCCACTTCCAATACAGCATCTTGGCCCCCAGCAGATGGCTGCTCTTCTTTGGGCCTTTATAGCTGGGACAACTTGTGCTGAGGCTGGGAAGCGGGTGGGAGGGTCTCCCAAGAGCACCATGTGACATCCTCTCAAAGAGGGGTGTTCTCCCTCGGGTCATTCCAAGACTCTGACCTCTCCCTCTGGCCTCTGCCTGGTGCCGGGCCCTTGGAGGGGCCTAGGTGACAGCACCGTGTGTAGGTCAGCTGTCCCCCCAAGTGCAGGTGACTGGAGACAGGAGACCAGGGACCCAGACCTCCTCTTCTTCCTCTTCCAGCTCCTGTTCCTCTCCTGCTGCGGAGGTTCGGGTCCTGCCGGGAGGCACCCTGTGTGCACCTGCTTTGAGTCATGCTCTGGTGGAGCTTCACTTTCTGGTCACTGGCTCTCAACTGGAGCCTGGGCAGGCGTCCTGGTCTTTCTTTCCCCAGACCCCTTTCCTCTCTTGTCCATCCTCTTTTTAAAAAAAAAAATTTATTGTTTAAAGTATTACATATAATCCCTTTTCCCCCATTGACCTCTTCCTGCTCGTTCCCACCCCCACACCCAGCACATGTCCTCACTGACTGTGTCCATGGGCCATACCCATATGCATGCATACAAGTCCTTTGGTTGATCTCTTACCCCCCTCCCCTCCCTGCCTTCCCCCTGAGGTTGGATGGTCTGTTTGATGCTTCTCTGTCTCTGGATCTGTTTTTGTTCATCAGTTTATGTTGTTCACTATATTCCACATATGAGTGAGATCATATGATATTTGTCTTTCTCTGACTGGCTTATTTTGCTTAGCATAATGCTCTCCAGGTCCATCCATGCTGTTGCAAATGGTAAGAATTCCTTCTTTTTTATAGAAGCATAGTATTCCATCGTGTAGATGTACCACAATTTTCTAATCCACCCATCTGCTGATGGGCACTTAGGCTGTTTCCAAATCTTAGCTATTATGAATTGTGCTGCTATGAACATAGGGGTACATGTATCCTTTCTGATTGGTGTTTCTGGTTTCTTGGGGTATACTCCTAGAAGTGGGATTACTGGGTATTTGGAGTTCCATTTTTAACTTTTTGAGGAAACTCCATACTGTTCTCCACAGTGGCTGCACCAGTCTGCATTCCCACCAGCAGGGAACGAGGGTTCCTTTTCCTCCACATCCTCGCCAGCACTTGTCGTTTGTTAATTTGTTGATGATAGCCATTCTGACAGGTGTGAGATGGTACCTCATTGTCATTTTGATTTGCATCTCTTGGATGATTAGTGACTTTGGGCATGTTTTCATATGTCTCTTGGCTTCTGTATGTCCTCTTTTATAAGGGGTCTATTTGGTCCTTTGCCCATTTTTTGATTGGATTGTTTATCTTCCTTTTGTTAAGTTGTATGAGTTCCCTGTAAATGTTGGAGATTAAACCCTTATCGGATATAACATTGGCAAATATGTTCTGCCATGCAGTGGGCTTTCTTGTTGCCTTGTCCATCTTCTATGTTAGGAGTTGGCAGGTGTTTTGTGGAAAGGCCCTGTGTTAGTGTTTCAGCTTTGCGGACACACAATCTGTGTTGCAGTCACAACTCAAGCACTGGGGCCCCTGGAGAATATGTAAATGAGTGGGCATGGCTGGGCACCAATGAAACCATAGCTACACAAGCTGGCTGGGGCCAGATTTGGCAGCGTCTGACCGGGATGCAGTCAGCCGCCGTTGGGAAAGCCTAGTTCCCCATGGCCTGCTGGACTCCTTAACATGACGGGCCCACCCTCTCCTCCATCTCCAGAGGCATCTTCTGTTCCAGGTCCTTCTCGTGCCTCTGCAAGCCCTGCTCTCCCGCCACATGCGCCGCCTGCCCTTCTTTAAACATGTCTTCCCTGCCTCCTGGCCTTTGCCTGTGCTGCCCCTTCTTCTGGAATGCCCTCCCTCTTCGTGCATCCTGTCTGCTCATGTGACTTGGGCGCCTTGTTCAGGTTAGATGTTTCCTCTGTGTCCTGCGTGAACCCTCCAGCCCTCAGCCCTCGCCAACTGTGGGTCCCTCCTCTCCTCCGTGAGCCTGACGCTTAGTACTTGCCTCCCAGTGACCTTTCACGTGCTGCCGTCTAGTCATTTGTTTCTAACTCCATCTCCTCAAGGGCAGGAATCAACAGGACGTGGCTACCTCCGCCGCCTCCCCCCTGCCCAGCGCCAGCCTGCCAAGCAGTGGGCACTCAGGAAATGGCGTTGGCACAGTCACCGTGACTGTCCCCCACACACACTCCCCAGTGCATCAGAGGCTCTCAGGGTCTGGCTGTGCTGTTTTGGGAAATCAAGGTCCCGTCAGGTGTCCGGCCTTGACGTGTCCTGTAGCTAAATCCGTTGCTGGCCCGTAACCTGAGCCTGCCCGGATCCGGTGCCCTGTTTGCTTTGACATCCCGTGAAGGGCTGGAGGGGAGCTGAGAGAGCCAGATTTCAAAGCAGGAATGCTCCCTCGCAGCTGCGGAGGGCCGGGCCCCTGTGGCTCCTGGGCTCCTGTGTTAGCGTTTCCAGTTAATTAAGAAAACAAGCCCCGAATCCCTGACAGAGACGGGCCTGCAGATTCGGGATGGAGGTGTGAGTCAGCACGTGGCAGTGGCCTCTGGCTTCTGTGCAGGATGAGCTGAAAGAGGGGCCTGTGGGCCAGAGAGGACCGGTGTCTCTCACTAGAGAACATGCGGGTCGCAGGGGCCAGCTCCAGTGGGGCCGAGCACGAGTCTGCTCCTCCTTCCCTTCCAGGGCACTCTCTGAACAGGTGGGATGTGGAGCAAGGCCAGCTGGGTGAGAACGGGAGCGGAGGACCCGAGACACCGGATTGGCCCGGCAGCTTCTTGGTTATTCTACCTCCTGGCCATGAGGACAGTGGGGAGAGGTGGCCTGGGGAAGGCTTCAGGGTGGGGAGAGGGGGGCCTGAGGAGCTGCCTGCCAAGGGGGAGCCTGGGCAGGGATGCTGCTCACCATGCCCGGCCTGGGTGAGGATTTAATGGGGAGTAGTAGTCACCATATGCTGTACAAGTGGCCCAGCCACTGTGTCCCTGCCTACCTGCTCTCTGTGGAGCTCAGGAGAAGGCGCTGGGACTCCGCCAGCACCAGGCCTGACAGGGTGTCCGCGGGCAGGTGGGAAGGGAATTGCGACTCGGGAGTGGCAGGTGCACAGGGCACGCAGGTGATGGTGCCGAATGTCCGGCAGGTGCATTTCCTTCTAGGTGTGCATGCCCTGCGGGCTGGGTGGTTTCATGCATCCCCTTGGTAGTGGGATCCTCTTGCAAGTCACAGCCTGCACACTGCACGCGGTGGCCCTGGCGCCTCTTGGGCAGAATGCGGTGGGAAAGAGACCCAGTCCTGCGCTGCCACTGTAACTGGTCCAGGGCTAAGGATTTGGCCTTTGAGAACCTCCTGTTCCCAGTAGGAAGTGGGGACGAGCGAGGCTCACATTTTATGTGCGTCCCAAAGGCATAGGGTACATATTGGCTAAGGCATAGATATACCAGGCCCGGCTCAGTGAACCTCGTTTCCTTCCCCATCAGACATCTACCTTGTCCACCGTCTGCCTGCTGGCTCTGGATCTAGCTGCCTTAGAAGCTATGGGAGAAATAACTAAGCCGTGGTTAGCATCTGCGCAGCGGGGGGAGGAGAGGCCCGGGGAGGAAGTGGTTCCTGGACCAGCGCTCCAGATCTGGTGTAACAAGTCCAAACAGTTGGTAGCAGATATTTTTTGACTTTTGAGAGCCCTCCCCTTATCCCCCCGGGACTCTCAGAGCTTCCTGCCTTCTATACATCGCTGCCTCTTCACCACCACTCACGGGACAGAGCCGCATTCTGCAAGCAGCGGGGCCATTCCCCATTCTGGGAAAGCAGATCTTGGAAGGTGAGCATCTCTGGGTGCTAGGTGCTAGCTCTACTGCAGGAGAGAAGGCATTGGGCTCCTCTCTCTCCCCCCCCCTCTCTCTCTCCCAACAGAACCCCCAAGTTGTGTACCTGGTGTGACCAATAGCTCTTCTTTCCTAGAAAACACATCCAAAATGCTACCTGATCCTCCTAAAATCCCCAAATCCCTTGCTTTCTGCTTCTGCTGCTCATTCTTCTCACTTTGTCTTGGGACCATTTGCACACAAACATTAAGGAAAATACACATAAAGTCAGGTGTGGGCTATGGAAAGGCACGCTGAGGGTAGGCAAGTAATGACGATCACATGTGCAGTCGGGGGTTCTAGACCTTCCACTAGGCAGCGCAGAGGCTGTGGATGGACTGTTAGGAGCACTTTTCTCTTTAAAAGGGGTTTCTATGTATTCTCCAGGCTTCAAAGAGAAAATGTGCAGTAAAGACCTGGACAGGCTGTGATTAGCTTCTGGAATATTAGGGAACATCATCTGAAGAGAGGCGCTGTGCCCTGGGCCCTGGCAGGGCTCAGTACTTAGGGAAATAATCTATGTATATAAAAGCCAAGCAACTGAATGACCAGTTGCTTTGACCTTGCACTGCTGCCCTGATCGCCGCCCCCCGCCCCCAGCCTACCCCTGCCGGTCCTGCCCTGATCCAGCCAGATCAGGGGGAGGGCCGGCCGCCAACCTCCCGCATCCCCTCCCCCTGGCTGGCCCTGCTGTGCCAAGGCTGTGCCAGGGCTGTGCCAGGGCTTATGGAAGGAGTGTGGCTGTGGGGGAGGCTGGCGGCACTTCCGGAGACAGAGGGAGCCCCACTGTCTATTCCCGTAAAGGACACCCATGTCGGAGGCCGAGACACCTGTGTGGCCCCAGCTAGAGAGCTATAGCGTGTGAAGCTTTTTATGCCGACCAAGAGGAAACTGGGCAATTACGTTTTCCTGGGATAAGATGACAGCAAGGGTCCCCGAGGCCAGTAGTGACCTCGCTTCAGGGAGGTCATTTGCTCACAGTGCATTCAGGCACCTCTGCCGAGCGCCTCCACGTGTGTGCCCGCTGCTGTCCCAGCCGTGGCTGCAGATGCCCACGCTCCTGCCCTCAGGGCTCGCCTACCTGGGGAGAGGCCCTGAGCACTGAGAGGTGGCCGCCAAGGCCAGTGTGCCCCAGAGCGGTCTGACCTGGCCCCGTGGTCACTGGCTCCTGTGTTCTCCCCAAGGCAGGTGTCAGCCTCCCCCGATTCCTGGCTCTCCTTCCTTCCCATGTGGGGTTAGAGACCCTGTACCCCAACTCCCCTCATGCTCTGTGCAGCTCTGCCCAGCCCGCTGTCTCTCCCTGACCAGCTCACCAGTTGTACCCCTTTCCCCACCTGAGAGGGTTTCTGATGCTCAGGTCTGTGTGTCACTCACGGTCACATCCCTACAGTGATGTGCCAGGCACAGGGTGGGAGTCCATAAATGACTGCGGAATGAATGAATCATGGGGTAAAGGCCTGGTTTCATTCATTCGCCTTTACCATTCACAGTGCATCTGTTTTCCTCTCTCTCTGGGTCAGTCGTGGAGAGGGACGGCCTCCTGGGGAAGCTGCTGGAAAGCGGAAGCGCTATGAGAAATTAGAAATGGGTTGGAGTCAGTTCTCCAGTGGGTCCTCTGTGAGACATGGCCGCAGGAGGCTCATTTGCTTCGAGCGCACTCCCTCGCCCAGGCCGGGAGGGTGGGTGGGCTTCAGGGCAGGCAGAGCTGGGCTCAGAACCCAGACCCCTGTGCCCAGGCCCGCGTCTTCCTCCTTGTGGGTGGGGACGACCCCATGCTAAGGGACAGACCTGCCCCTGCAGCATGCGGCTCAGTCAGCCCAGCTGGGCCAGCAGGACAGCAGGCCGCCTGGGAATGGCTGGGAAGCAAGTCCAGGCTGTGGGCTCACCTCCCCCAAGGCCAGGATGTGGCGTGGGACCCAGGCGGGTGGAGGTTCCCACCGCTCAGCTCCTGCCCTCACTCCCAAATGCTCCAGGCCCAGGCAGCGTCTCAGCAGGAGAGGGTGGGGGAGACGCCAGCTGCCCAGGGCAAGGCCCCGTATGAGACCAGAGCAGCTCTGCAGGCAGCCACCTTTGACATTTGTCCTCCACTGGACAGCTGCCAGGGCCCTGCAGCCCAGCCTGGCCTTGCTTGGGGGACGAGCGCCAGGGATTAACCACTGCAGGCCCTGCCTGAGTCGGGCCAAGCCTGCTGCTCCCAGATCAGCCAGCATCCATCGACCACGTACCCAGGGTGGCGTGGGCGTGTTCACAGATGCTACCTCATTTAATCCTCACATCAATCTGGTGAATATAGACACCAGCCCCATTTTCCAGATGAGTAAACTGAAGCCCATGGAGTTACATCATCTGCGTAAATGTATGCAGTTGGTGAGTAACGTTTCCTATACTTATTTTTTATTACAAGGGCCTACTATGTGTGAGGCTGCGAGTGATGACAAAATTGTCTCCTGGAGCTTATGTTCTAGTGGTAGAGAAAGGTGATATAACAAGTAAAGTATGTGGCATCTAACTCTTGTGCCGATTCACCCGGTGAAAGGGGAGGGCTTGACTAGGTTTGCAGAGAATATGAAGAGGTGAGAGTAAAACTCAGGCAAGTCCCAAAGGCCCTATCTCTCTCCCTTCCCCCCTCTCCCCACCAGACTTCCCCGCCGTCCCAGGACTCAGGTCTGGAACACGTAGGACTGTTTCTTGCTCTTTCCCTCCCTCTGTGGCAATCTGAGAAGAATCTACTTAGTGATGATGATGGTGATGATGCTGGTGGTGGTGATGATGATGATGACAGCAGCTAATATTTGTGGGAGACTTCCTGAAATGGATGGTGAAAGTGTATGTTATTACAACTCACATATGCAGAAGGAAGTAATCATTCCCTATGATTGATAACTTGCAGTAAATCTCAGCTTGATAGATAAAGGTACTTTAGTCTCTTCTGATATGAGACGGTAGCTTTGGCCCACGGTCAAGTCAAGTCACAAGGCAGACTCTCCGTGAGGGCGTCACCTCCTCTGGCCTCCTCCCCATGTGGGCTGGTGCCCGGGCACCTCCAGCCTTATCCAGGCTGCCAAGAGGACCCGGGGCCGTGGGGTCCCTGTGGATCTCTGGTGTGTGCCCTGTTCCCTCTGCTTCTTGGTCCCTGCGCTGAAATCCACTTCGGGGCCAGGTTTGGTCTTGTCTCTGGCGCTTTTGAGGGGAGACCTGGCCCGGCTGCTGAATCCTGCAGCTTCCTCAGGCCCCTGGCTCTCCTGGGACACCCACCGGCCTCTGGGGGGCCTGGGTGTCCAGCTGTGGCCTGGATGTGAGGCTCTCTGTGGGTGGCCTGAGGGTGGCACCCAGGTAACTCCCTCAGTCCTTGCTAACCTGCCTGCCACAGCCCGCTGCTGAGCCCAGCTGAAAGCAACGCGTCTCCAAGGCCGAGGTGTTTCCCCAGGTGTGTCCCTGCCCAGGACTCTCAGTCACTGGGCTGTTAGCAATGTCCCTCCTCCCCCTTCACCTCCAGGAGGAAAGAGAGTGACATCCTGGCCGTTGACTTCTTTCCCTCCTGGTCCTGGAAAGGTTTTCTGTTCTCTCTTTCCGTCTAAAGGAAACACAGCTGCTCCCTGCTCCATGGATGGCTCTGTTCTGAGGGCTCCTTTCCTGGGAAACTAGGTCACGGCTTACCTCTGCTATTAGAAGGTCCTAGAAAAAGGAAGGGCAACAAAACGAACACCCGGCTTTCCCGGAGGCAAAATATATGGGAAATAGTCTAAATACTTTCCTTGTAAAATGCTCTGTATGGACATCAGCTACAGCGTCCCTCCTGCGTCACCTCTCAGACTGCAGCCTGCGGTGTGTCCGGCCTGTTCTCTTTCACCGATGAGGACGGTGAGACTTACGTGAAGCAACGGTCCCAAGGCCTCACAGACAGTGGGTGGCGGAGCCCAGTTTCGAAGCTATAAAGTCTGCATTCTCGACCCCCCTGTTCCTGGGCTTTTGCTGCTTCTCAGAAAGGAGTCTTGGGTGCAGGTTCTTTAGCGAACACTCAGTGGCCTGAAATGTGGCCCCTTGGATAACGTGGAAAATCCCCAGAGAAGGGGCATTGGCCTCAGTGGACTCCCCCAGGGGTCAGGGTCAGGCAGGCCCTTCAGATCACAGGGAACCTAGTTCCGTGTTAGCAAGGGCTGTCCGTCTGCCAGTTCTCTCCCGTTCGTATGCACGGGAATACCTGCACCCTCCTGCTCTCATGCAGCCTGACAGGAGCAATGACTTTCACCAGCTGTGCGGGTGGCTGCGCTCGACAAGGCATGTGGCGTGACAGCCTCCCCACCCCGCTTCCCGAGGAGGCCTTGGACTCGCAGCTGGCGCCTCTCTGCGGAGCCTGGCACACCCCGCCTCGCAGCTCTCCCCTGGCCGAAGCCCTGGCCCTTTCGTCTGCCAGGAGCTGCTCTCCAGCTGCTGAGGACCAGGGTGCAACATTTGAAAAACTCAGCTCTGGCCTTCAGTTGCTCTGGAGTTGAAAAGCTCGGGGTTGGGGTGGGGATCTGTTCAGCATCTAAACATAGCCGGGGGGAATAAACTCTTGCCTTATATTTTTAGTTTTTATTACATAATTAGCATCATGTTAATGGTGTTATAATATTAGCTCTAAATAAAATAGGCGGCGGGGGTGGGGGGGGATTTACACACAGTTATACCATGTGCACATGGACTAATTTTTCCAAAAGTCCCAATGACCTGGGCATTCTGAGATGGAGGGGCAGGGAAGGGAAGGGGCAGTCAGTGAGAAGTGATTTAGGTGCCCTGAAATGGCCGGAATCAAGCCAATGCACAGGCTTGATTTCAAGCTCATGGCTTCTCTTTTGTAAGACTGAGCTCTGGAATCGCCTCCTCCAGGAAGCCTTCCGTGGTGTCCTCCTTGTCAACAGCCAGGCTGTATTAGGTGCCTCTTTCTACTCACATCACGCCTTCCCTATGTGCTTCC